CAAAATAGGAATTGAAGGAAAATGCCTCAACATAATAAAGAGCATATATACAAAACCAACAGCCTATATTACTCTCAATGGAGAGAAATTGAACCCTTTCCTCTGCGAACAGGAACCAGACAAGGATGTCCTCTGTCACCACTTCTATTCAATATTGTGCTGTAAGTCTTAGCAAGAGCTATATGGCAAGACAGGGAAATTAAAGGTATCCAAATTGGCAAAAGATGAAGTAAAACTCTCCCTATTTGTAGACTATGTGATCCTAAACATAGTAAACCCCAAAGACTCAGTTAAAAAGCTACTAGACCTCATTGGAAGATTCAACAAAGTGGCAGGGTATAAGATCAACATACAAAAATCAGTTGGATTCCTCTATACCAAGATTTAATTTCATTATGCACTTTTCAATTTCCTATTTTGGACTTATTTTTATTTTGTCAATGGTAGTGACTTATTGAACATGGGCACCACCTAATTTTTTTTTAGTTCTACCAGAAAACCTCAGCAGACATTTTGATTTGCTGCTTCTAGTTGTAATAATTGAATTTTTATATGTAATTCCAAGAACTTAGTTCCATTTGACTTTTTTATATGAATGTGTTCAGGTCTCAGTGTGAGGCGCATTGACATCGATGCTTCGTTCCTCTCCCGTGCTGACAACAGGCTGTTGCTGGTGGTGAAGAGCAGCCTGCCGGCCTTCGTCCTTTCCTAGCTGTTCTGGAGATCAGGCTGCGAGATTTCAGTGACTGCTCAGTTATCATTCTTTTTGCCTGTAAAAACTAACTGCGAGGGCTTAAGTAGACCAGGCAGCTGCTGCTCTCAATGTGTCTGAAGGTTTTAGCGCTTACTGAATAAAGTGGGTTCATTGGGACCTGTGTACCAAATTTTAAAAAATTTTTAAAAAGGAAATAAATAAAAACAAACCCTTGTGTTGAGGGCTGACTTTCAATAGATCGCAGCGAGGGAGCTGCTCTGCTACGTATGAAACCCCGACCCAGAAGCAGATCGTCTACGTATGGTTTAGCACCAGGCTCCCCGCGAACTCTTCGATTGAGAGTTTTTGATGACCTGAGCAATTTCCTTTTTGTTATAAGCCTGTTCAAGTTTTCTACTTCACTCTGTGTTAGTTTAGTTAGGTCCTATTTTTATTTAAAAAATTCCATTTCTTCTATATTTTCATATTTACTGGAGTATAATTCTTTATACTATTCTGTTATAATTATTTCTGTTGATTCTATTGTGACATCAACGTATAGTTTCTTATGCATGTTATTTGTTTTTTCCCTTTTTTCTTTTGTTAGATTTCCCACTGGTTTGTCAATTATATTAATGGTTTGGAATAACCAGCTTCTTGTCTTGCTTATTCTTTCTATTGCTTTTGTGTTTGCTAAGGCATTTATTTCTGCTCTAATCTTTATTCTTTCTTTTATTCTGCTTATTGTAGGCTTACATTGCTGGCATTTTTTTCTAACTGTTGGAGATGCTATGTTAATGTGTTGATTTGGGTTCTTTCTTGATTTTGAATGTGTGTGTTTATTGCTTAAAAACTGTTCTCTATGTAGTGTATTTGCTGTGCCCCAAAGGTTTTGGTATGTTGTGTTTTAATTTCCATTTGCCTCGAGATATTTTTATTTTGTTTTTATTTGTTCTATTACCCAGTAGCTTTCAAGCAGGATGTTATTCAGTTTCCATGTATTTGATTTTGTTCCTTTGATCTTCCTATTGTTGAGTCATAATTTTATACCATTATGATCTGAGAAGATGTTTTGTAGTACTGTGATGTTTTTAAATTTACGGAGACTTATTTTGTGGTGTACCATATGACTTATTTTGGCAAATGTTCCATGTGCACTGTACAGGGTTTACAAGGCTATAAAACTTTATGGCAGCAGATAGCCTAATCTTTCTACCACAGAGTAAATAGATTCAGACTACTGATCTTCCAGTTAGCAGCCCAGCTCACAACCAACTGCTCTGCAAGGGCTCCTTGTTAACTAAGTAAAAACTTTTTAAGTAAAAAAAGAAGCGTTTACTGTATTCTTTTTTGGTGTTTTTATTATGAGGGTTGGTGTTGTATTTGGAAATGATTTTGGATTTTATCAAATACTTTTGGTGGGGTATCTATTGAGGTTATCTTATGTAGGTTTTATTTAATCTTTAAAGTAATACATTTTATTGCATAGTTATTAAGAAGTTTGGTAATCTTAACTTCATTGCATGCAGTACACACTATTATTTTGTGGTGGTTTAATTTTGTCTACCAGTATTTTGTAATGCTTTAAACATGCTCATCAATAAGTGATATGGGTCTATAATTTTTTTGGTGATGCTTTCCTAAGGTTTTTATTTCAAAGTAACTTTCACTTGCCACTTTTCTAGTACATGTTGTAGCCGTCCAGATAGCCAAAGTAAACTAAATAGAAAGCAACCTAACAGTTCTTTAGGCAATTAGGAAAATGAAAGAATAGAGATGAGAGATGAATACTGATGATATAGGTTGAGGTGAGGCATCAATCACAAGTGTTTCAGAGCAAGAATCTAATTGTTGTGGTTCATCCCAATGCAAACAACTTTTCATGCCAGGCTGCCTTAGAAACTGCTGGTCAATGTGGATCTGGCATATAGCAGGTCCTTGTTATTAACTTTTAAATAAGTGCTTAAATACATGAATACCCCCTTAAATAATGGACACTCCAGAGCCATTTTTCTGGCTTTTGTTAATTTCATTGTTCTTTAAAAATGATACACTTTGAATGCATGGTGATGGTGGTGTTTATGTGCTGTTGAGTTGGTTCAGATTCATAGCAAACCTGTATAGGGTTTCGAGGATGTAAATCTTTACTGGAGCAGAAAGCCTCATCTTTCTCTGATGGAGTGACTGGTAGATTTAAACTACAGAGCTTGCAGTTAGCATCCCAACTTGTAATCTACTATGCTACCAGAGCTCCATTTTGCATGTCTAGGAGCTAGCATATTTTTCACTTCACGGTAAGTCAATTTCCATTGCCAGTTTTTCTACCCTTAAGACTAACTGTGGAAAAAGTACTCCAGCTCCTGATTCTTTGTTATCACTGAACAAAATCCCATAGATTCCCCAGGTGCTGACCACCTGGGGGAAATAGAGTATAACAAAATAATGACTGTATGAAAGTTACAATGCTCAAGAAATCTTACAGTCATAACATTATAGATTTGCCATCCTCTCCTCCAATTTAATCTTTTAAATTAAAATGTAAAATCAGATGTACTTTAAAAGCTTTCATTGGTTCTTCATTACATATAGGATGCAGGTAGAGCTATGACTCAAAACCGACTTGATGTCATTTAACAACAGCAACAATAATGCAGCAACAGTAATCCCAAATAAATTAGTAGTTATGTAAATGTAAAACAAGAATTCATATAAGTGCCAGCAGAAAGTACAGGGAAATATGTGATCTTAGTGTGAAAAATCTTTCAAAACAAAACAGACATAGATCATAACGAAAAATACACTGAGAAAAATATTTACAACATATGGCAGATAAAAGGTTAATACTTTTACTCCAGAAACAGTATTATATTTGTTGTTGTTAAGTGCTGTCGAGTCAGCTCTGACCCATAGCACAGAAATACTACTCAGTTTATAAATAATTCTTTTGATGTTATAGAAAAGAGCTATTAGTTAATATTTTATTGTTCCTCTAAATGAGCTAATCTTTTGTTATTACTTCTTTAGCAGAAACAAATTAGCTATTCACCAGGAGTATACAGCATAGAACATCAGCAAGAGATAACCAAACTGAAGACTGATTTGGAAAAGAAAAGCATCTTTTATGAAGAGGAAATATGTAAAAGAGAAGGAATACATGCAAATGAAATGAAAAATCTGAAGAAAGAACTGCATGATTCAGAAGGCCAGCAACTTGCTCTCAACAAAGAAATTATGATTTTGAAAGACAAATTGGAAAAGACCAGGAGAGAGAGGTAAGAATAAAACAATTTATGCGTACACTATATATTTATTGAATATGCATATATGCCATGTACTAGACATACTTGGACTCCTGGTGTGGTGCTGTAAGATCAGCATTGCACTGCAAATCACAAAGTCAGCAGTGCAAATCCACCAGCTGCTTTTCAGAAACCCTATACATGATCACTGAGTCGGAACCAACTCAATAGCACTTAACAACAGCAACACAAACATATTTAGAAAATTAAACATGCCAGTCCTCAAGAAGACCAAAGTCAAGATTGTTGTCAGTGCTGTCGAGTTGGTTCCAATTCGTATTGACCCTGTTTAGGCTGCTGTTAAGTTGGTTCCAACTCATATTGACCCTGTTTTGAGAAGCAGCTGGTGGGTTTGAACACTGACCTTTTGATTAGCAGTCCAGTGATTATCCTACAGAGCCACACCGAGGTCTGAGTAGTTAAGATTTGTAAGTAGAAAATCACAATGTCATATGATAGGGTATACTGGAATAAATATTGGAGTACACATGGTGGTGGTGGTGGTGGTTATGTACTGTGGAGTCAGTTCCGACTCATAGTGACCCTATACAGGGTTTCTGAGGCTGTAAATCTCCATGGGAGCAGAAAGCCTCATCTTTCTCCCGCGGAACAACTTGTAGTTTCAAACTGCTACCCTTAAGGTTTGCAGCCCAATTCGTAACCACTACGCATGCTACCAGAGCTCCTTGGAGTACACATAGGAAACATGAGATGTAATTTAAGTGTCGCCAGGCTTCCTGAATGAAATTATTTCTAAACTAAGACTTTAGGAATACAAAAGCCATAGCTGAAAAAAAGTGTCCAAGCAGAGGTGCAAAATGTGCTAAAACCTAAAGGAAAAAGGAACAGCATATTAAGAAAATGAAAGCTGTTCACTGTTCATGAAGCATAAAAATGTATGATGAAAGTGGTGAAAAACTAGACTGGAAAGGAAAGTAGAGGCAAGATCATGTAGTGTAAGGAATGTAGATTTTATCCTTGGAACATCAAAGGAAATTGATGTGGTTATATTTGTATATATGTGTATATATTAATATTGTGTGGGAAATGGATTAGGAAGAGCACATTGGAGCAAAGAATCTAGCTGGAAGCTGTGAGATATAGAGACCACAAGTAGTGGCAGTAAACAAAGAGAGGTGAACAGATTCAAGAGGTCTGCTGAGAAGACAGAAGCCCTGGTCATGCAATGGTTAAACCTCTTAGCTGGTAACTGAAAAGTTGGCAGTGGAAACCCAGAAACCACTCTTTGGGTGTTGTTGTCTGTTTCTGTGGGATTTGCAACCTTGGAAACCCTCTGAAGCAGTTATGTTCTATTGTATAGCATTGCTCTGAATAAGGATTGACTCAATGGCAATTGGCTTTTAATTTACTGAGAAGACATAGCACAGAGAACAATGACCACACATGAGGAATGATGGAACGAGATAAATCAATAGCAATACACAGATTTCTGGCAGTCAGTCATCTGAATGTATTTTATTGGGAGCCTGAGTTTAATTCAGTTTGATACATTCATTCATTCATTCATTTGAGAAGAAAAAAATTTAGAGGCTATATGCCAGAGACTCATCTGTCAGTTTTTCGTATTATGGTGGCAGTTTGTCATACTACGGTGGCTGTGAAGCTGGAAAGTTTGCCACCAGTATTTTAAATACCAGCAAGGTCACTCATAGTGTACAGGTTTCAGCACAACTTCCAGACTAAGTTGTTGTTGTTGTTGTTGTTGTTATGTGCTGTGGAGTTGGTTCTGACTCATAGTGACCCTGTACAGGGTTTCTGAGGCTGCAAATCTTTATGGTAGCAAAGAGCCTCATCTTTCTCCCGCAGAACAGCTGATAGTTTTGAACTGCTGGCCTTGTGTTTCACAGCCCAATTCGTAGCCACTACACTACCAGAGCACCTTCCAGACTAAGACAGACTATGAATAAGAAGAGTCAGACCACTTCTGAATGGTTAGACTGCAAACCTTATGAATAGCAATGAAACATTGTCAGATATAGTGTTGGAAGATATCCTTCAGTTGGAAGCCCCCATTAAAATATGACTGGAAAAGAGTAGTGTTGACCTTAATAACATAAACAGACAAAAGTTTTTGGGACCTTCATTTGCTGACGTGGCACAACTCAAAATGAGAAAACACAGCTGCAAACATCCATTGATAAAATACAATGTGGAATATATGAAATATGAATCTAGGAAAACTGGAAGTGGCCAAAAATAAAATGGAATGCATAAATATCAATATCTTAGATATTACTGAGCTGAAATTGATAGGCATTGTCCATTTTAAATCAGACAGTCATATGGTTTACTATGCTGGATACAAAAAAACTGAAGAGGAATGATGTCACATTCATCATCAAAAATATCTGTCTTGAAATATAATGCTGTCTGTGATAGGATAATAATCATATGCTTATAAGAAAGACCAGGGAACCCTGGTAGCATAGTGGGTTACAAATTGGGCTGCTAACTGCAAGGTCACCTGTTCAAATCTACCAAGTGCTCCACAGGAGAAATGTAAAGCTCCATAGGAGCTTTCTGCTCCTGTAAAGATTTACAGCCTCAGAAGCCCTATAGTTCCCAGCTCACCACCACAAGGAAGACTAGGTAATACCATTATTATTCAAGTTTATGCACCAGCCTCTAAACCAGTGACAATGCAATTGAAGGATTTTTGCCAACATCTTGAGTCTGAAATTGATCAGACATAATCGATGCATTAATAATTACTGATGAATGGAATGTGAAAGTCAGAAACAAAGAGAAAGGATCAGTAATTGGAAAAGATGGCCTTGGTGATAGAAATAATGATGTGGATCACATGATAGAATTTTGCAAGATGAGTAACTTATTCATTGCAGTTCCCTTTCATCAACAGCACAACAACTATATATAGGGCCCTAGCCAGGTGGACTACATAAGCATCAAATCAGCTGCGTGAGTGGTAAGAGGCACTGCAGAAGCTCAATATCATCAGCTAAAAGAAGGCCAGGCCCCTACTATGGAAAAGACCATGCAAAAATCAGGCTGAAGATGAAGAAAATTTAAATAAAATTCATGAAAACCAAAATCTAAAATCAAATTATATCCAACCTATATTTAGAGACAATCTCAAAACAGATTTGATACATTAGACACTAATGTCCAAAAACAAGAATAGTGGGATGACATGAAGAACATTATATATGAAGAAAGCAAAAGGTAATTAAAAACACAGGATAAAAAGAAAGAATACACCAAAATGGATGTCAGAAGAGAATCTGAAACTTAACTTGCTCTTGTGCTTGGAGAAGCTAAAACACCTGGAAGGAATGATAAAGTACAAGAGCTGAACAGAAAATTTCAAAAAGCAGCTCAAGAAGGCACAGTAAGAGGCGGGGCTTAATGGCGGTTAGGGTGAAGGTGCAGTGAATTTTGTCTCTCAATGGAGAGAAACGGAAAGCCTTCCCTCTGTGAACAGGAACCAGACAAGGATGCCCCTTGTCACCAGTCCTATTCAATATTGTACTGGAAGCCTTAGCAAGAGCTATATGGCAAGACAGGGAAATTAAAGGCATCCAAATTGGCAAAGAGGAAGTAAAACGCTCCCTATTTGCAGATGATATCATCCTATACATAGAAAACCCCAAAGACTCAGTAAAAAAGCTACTAGACCTCATTGGAAGATTCAGCAAAGTGGCAGCGTATAAGATCAACATACAAAAATCAATTGAATTCCTCTGTACCAAAAATGACAGCGTTGAAAAGGATATTAG